GACCGGTTTAACGACTATCTTTCAATTTTTTTAAAGTTGTTTAGGACTGTTGGCAACGGTCAATTGGCTTTTGGCCGTTGCCCAACGGCTGGAATTGCACAATAGCCCTTTCTTGGGCAAATTTTTTTTAAAAAATAACACTTTTAATAATTACTAATTTAGTCCTTTGAAAAATTATAATTACACCCTCCTCTTCTTCATTTCTTCACTCATCTCTCATTTCTCAAACTCATATTCTCTCATTCAAGTTATATCATGCCCCGTGATTCTAGAGTGCGCTCATATGTTTGGGAACACTTTGAGGTGGTAAAAAAAAATGAAGAAATTTACAAAGTAAAGTGCAAGAACTGTGGTCGTATTTTAAATCTTCATCCAAAATGCACGGGCACAGGCTATTTAAGGAGGCATATGAAGAGTTGTCTTGAGCGTTCTCCAGAAATTCGTATTTAAGATTTTAAGTTGATTACTTGATTTGAGACAATTTGTGTTATTTTAATATTATTAGACGTATTATGCTTAATGTTTTAGTTTGTTAGATTAATTTGAAGTATTATTAATTTATTGTGCAATGATAAGTGCAAGTTTGAACTTTAATTTAAAGTATTAAATGTAAACTTTAATTTGCAAGTTTGAACTTGCAAATTGTAAGTGCAATTTTTTTTCCATCTTCATTGTATTCTATTATCTTAAAATTTAAATTCTTAATGATATATTCAAATATAAGAATTTTAAAGTCTTTGCATCCTTTATTCAAACACTATTTTTATAAGATTATTTTTTTGTTTATATTTTTATAATAGTTATACAAAATACAAAAATAATAATAATAATAATAATAATTTAAAAAAAATAAATTAACGCTAACCTGGCGCAGCCCAACCCTACCCCTTGGACCCGTAACCTCTACGGTTTATTTTTTACCCGGATGGACCCGGACCCGTTAAGCTTGGTAAACCCAAATCGTAACCGGCCCGGTTCGGAACCCGGACTAATCCATTTTTTCCCTACCCAGCCCAGCCAGCCCCACCCGTTTAACACCCTTAAATTGGAACGGAGGGAGTATTCCAGCATAAGTATATTGGAGTTCCAGCAAAATATACTGGAACTCCAGTATATTATCCAGCAAAATATACCGGTCCAGCATAATATGCTGGAAGTTCATATACAGGTGCTCGAATCTCCAATATATTATGTTGGGACTTTTCGCGTGTTGGAGTTCCAGTATAATATGCTGGAAGTTCATACACAGGTGCATCGAACTCCAATATATTATGCTGGACCGATCTCTGTTACAGCAAAATAGTGGCTATTTTTCAAATAACCTGACAAACACTGACTATTTTTGAATTATCAATCCAAAAATTTGCTAGCCCGTACTATTTTTACCTTTTTGTTTATACTAATATAGCCCGTATTCATTAAAAACGAGGAACAAGTACACTTAGAATCACTTTGTTGAACCACATAACAGAATTGGCCCATATTTTAAATCTTTACTCGCTTAGCCTAACGTGTACATGATTTAAAATGAAAATTATTGGAAGCCACCCAATTTAGTTGTTTGGAGCTTCTGCTTTGCATTATGTGCTATTTTTGTGTGAAAATAATAGTTGATTATGCGAAAAAATTATTTTTTTTTAAAACTTTGGCCTATTATCTTTGGGCTACATATTTGTGAAAATATAAATGTATCACCTAGTTGCAATTTATCCGTATGGATGTAAGAAAATTGAAGAACAGAAAATTGAAAAATAGAAGTCCGTTATTGACGACCAGTCAAAGCTTTGCTTTCGAAAATATATTTTTTTGAGTTTGTTAATTGTTTTGATTGGGTGTTGTTAAAATTGATTGAAAATCTCAAGAGGAGTTCAAAATTAAAATGTGAAATGATTTGGAGTAGATTTGAGCAATATTTGAGTTAAATTTCAGAAAAGGCGCAAGAAAGAAGACGAAGTCAGTTTTTGTATAATGATGTACAACATTGTATAATAGTGTATATGGGTATATAAATACCTCTTATAGACTCTTATACACCTTTATACAAACGTCTGTAGACGAACTTCTTCCACGTTTTTTAGTTACAATTTTTGTTCAAAACCATTCCAAATCTCCATCAAGTGACGTCATTTTGGTATACAACTTCCTTATACTATTTCTAATAAGTTTAGGACACCCACTCCAAATTTCTTACAAAATCAGATTCGAAATTTAAGTAAACTTATCTAAGCCTGTCCAACAATGGTGGGACCAGTATAAATATTTATTAAATGACTTCAAATTTTGTATACAACCTCCTCATACTATTTCTAACAAGTCTAAACAACAATCACTCCAAATTTCTAACAAAATCATATTTGAAATTTAAATCCACTTATTTAAGAGTGTTCGACAATGATGGATTATCTTAAAAATCTAATTTTTCACCACCCAAATATATTTGGATTGTTGAACTAATATTTGAATCACAACTACATATTCGAACATTAGATTAAAAGCTTGAGCATTTAAAAAAAAAAGTTTACTGTTTTCTTTTATAATTTCAAATTTCTGTTTCGTTTTTTTTTTTTGCATCCTGCCCCATCCCCTGTCNCTCCCTAAAAAATTTTTTTAATATATTTTCAGTTTTACTTTTTTCATCTTTCGCTTTACAGGTTCGAAATTTTACAAATTCCAAAGTTATGGTTCGGAGGTTTATATGTTTCGAAATTTACGGGTTTAGAAATTATAAAGTTTATGGGTTCGAAAGTATTGTCGGTTCAGAAGTTTATGAAATTTGTGGGTTCAGAAGGTTGTTGGTTCAAAAGTTTATGGCTTCATGTTTATTCTATCAATTATTTATGAATACTCTTGAGAAAATCTTTTCCTTAATTTACGTACCAAATATCGGAAAATGAATAAGATTACTACTTGTTTTTCAAGAAAACATTTTCCACGGAAAACATTTTCCGTTATATCAAACACACCAAAACTCTTTGGTTCTTTTTATCAAATTTTAAATGATTTTCTCTCGTTAAAACTTTAGTACTTGTTGAGAACATTTCAATCTCTCTAGTTATAAGCCCTCTACTTTGAGAAGTGATCTAACATTTTTGTTGATTGAAGTATTTGATACTATAATTTTTAGTTATTTTCGAACATTCATGAACATTCTCGTAACTATTATTTCTATATGTTTGGTTTACTTAAATAATTAATACACTAGTACTATTTTTCTCTCCTTTTTTTTTTTTTTTTTTTTTTTTTTTTTTTTTTTTTTTCTGGTAAATTAGTTCGTCTAAAGTTTATCTATTGATGAATATATATATTTGTGTTATTGGCGTAGGTGTAGAATCATGGGAAACGAGCAGTTAGCATATACNTTGTGGTTTTGTAGAATTAAGATACTTCCGTTGCGAAAATTAAGGTATTCTTTCTACAATTCCAAAATTAGCGTATGATTAAAGAGTTTATGTTCTATCTTTCAAAACAAGCATATTTCATATAAAATAATTATTTCTCTCTATATCTTTCAATACTAATAAATTTATTATGCAGATGCTAACAAATACTCTATAAATTTTAATCAAAATAAGCTACACAATTCTCCATACTCAAAGCTATTAAATCTTAATTAAAATAGAAAAAAATATCATCTTGGTAGTAGGAGGTGTACATGGACAGGGTTGGTTCGAGTTTTATCAAAACTAAATCAATTATATCGGTTTGGATTGATTTGGTTTTGTCGGATTTTCGGAGTTTTTTTGTTATATGAATATGATTTCAATGTTGCTTCTTTAAAGTTATAGATAAAGTTTTGATAAGTGAATATATATTTACTAAAAATTAAAAAAATTAACAAACATATAATCTATTAAAGTATTTTTGGAGAGACTTCTTTAATAACACATGATAGGTTATTTTCTTAGTCGTCTAACAATAGTTTTTGGTTGATTCACGCTTTCAAGGTTAACCAAATTTAGTAATTAAACATAAAATCAATAGGACACCTAAATAATGATATGTTCTATGTAATTTTAGATTATCGGAATAACACTTCGAATTCGAAAAAGATATAAGAAACCTTGAAATATAAATATGAAAGAACAAAGAGATGATTGACGCATTTCAGTAACACTTAATAAGAAAGTGATATAATAATAAGAATGAATGCACTGTAAATTAAGGACCCGTTTGGCCATAGATTTTGCCAAATAAATTTGGGTTTTATTTGGCAAACACATGTTTGGCCAAAAACCAGTTCAATAGCTGGTTTTGGGCCAAAATATCACTATTTTATTTTTCAAAAATTGCCCCACCAAACTTTTGTATTTTATAAAATAGCCCACCATTTATTTTTTTGTGACGATATTGCTTCATCTTTTCGGTCATCTGATAGATATGTAGTTCATTATAAAAATGATAATTTTGTACCAAATTTATTTATGTTCAGGATTATGTTTTGCGGTAATATAATGAATATTATTGATAATGGTACTGTTGCGTATTTGTGATAGTTTTTTGAACATGTGAGTATAAGTCATGTTTCATGTTTTTCCAAAATAAACTTGAGAAATATGTTTTGAAAACTGATGTCCAAACATATTTTCATTTTCAAACCAAACGTCACCCAAATCAGATTTTTCAAAACAAATTTGAAAAATCTGTAACCAAACGCTAGCTAAATATTTCACTCCAAGAGAAATCTCAAATATGAGGGATCAATATGCATTTCGAACAAGGGGTAATAGAACCCCATTTCCCACAAAGATAACGTTGTAAGGGGTAACACGAGATTTTAACAGTTTTTGTACGCGTCAGAAACTATTTATGTTTGGTAGTTGAAAAGTGTAAAAAATTTGTATACTTTTTGTATATAATACACGGAATATATATACATACAAAAAGATATATCTTTTTTTGGTTATTATTTTAAAAATGACGACTATACAATGTCATTTTTCCTAAATTTAATAAAAGTTTGAGGGATTAGTATGTATTAATCCCAAAAAGTAAATGTAATTAATTAGCATCATGTGAAATCTCTTAAGTGTAAACGCTCTTGTAAACCATGCAAAAAATTTGAATTCAAGGCAGCGCCAAACTCTCTCTCTAATCATCTTCTTCTTCTTCTTCACCTCTCTCACACAGACACACACACTCTCTGTCCTAAAATTCAAACATTAATCTCTCCAAAAAAAAACCAACAATGTCTTCTATCAGACCATCATCTCGGTATGCTCATAAAACTGGTTTTGATTCACAACGATCTTCCACCAAATCCGACCCTTCTTCTTCTACAGAACTCACACCAAAAACCCACAACAACAACAACAACGCTCTAATCAAAATCAAGAACGCTTCAAATGGTGTTACTCCAACTACTACCCACCATTCCAATTTCAGCTCCATGGTTAAGAAATTCGTTGAACACAAATCAACCTCCTCTAAATTGATTAAGCAGAAAAAGGGTGATTTGAAATTGGTTATACCTGCAGATTTTATAGCTGAAGATTTGAAGAAAACGGCGAAAAGAGGCGGTGGTTTGAGTGCTTTGCATAAGAAGTTGTTTAAAGGTTCTTCTTCTAGTTCTACTGGTGTGAAGAAAGAGGAGAAGAAAGCGTTGACTGAAGTCAAAGGGAATACGAGGACATTGGGAATGGTGCTTAGAAGTGAAAGGGAGCTGTTGAGTATGAACAAGGAGCAAGAGGATCAGATTCTTGAGCTCAAATTAATGCTTGAGGAGAAAAACCGAGAGGTACTTAATCTATTTGTATATCTGATTTTGCTGCCTACCGTTGAATTATCTTAATTCTTGGAGGCTAATTTTTCTTTTAAAAAGTTTTATCAACAGCTTGGGATTGTTTAAAAGCGTGTCTTTTTTGAATTATTTTTGGTAAATTTTAGGGCAAGATGTAAACTTTTTGCCTATTTCAGTCAAAGAGATTAGTTTCCCAAATGTGGATTTTCAGAATATTGGATGTGTAATTTAGGGCAACCCAGTGGACTAGTCCCGCTCTGCGCGGGGTCCCGGAAAGGGCCGGACCACAAGATTCTATCGTATGCAGCCTTACCCTACATTTCTTCGAGAGATTGTTTCCACGGTTCATTGGAGGTGTAATTTGAAATCATAAAATGCCCCTTTTAGAAGTACTTGTGTTGTGAAAGTGGTAAACAATGTCTTTGGTGTTAGAGGTTTATAATATTGTGCAAGATGGCATATTTACTGTTGCAAAATAGGGGATAATATTACTTTTGATGGCACATTGGTTGATTATCAATTAGTTGGAATTATTCCTTGTTACTAACTGAATATACGCGTATGTTACTTAAGTTGATGCTTGAAGAGAAAAAGAGAGAGGTGCTATATTTGTATATCATATAGTTTAATCTTGCATTCTATCATAGTTCTTGAAATTTGAACCTTTTTTCTTCTGTAGCATAAATTTTTATAAGGGAAGTTTTCTATTTGCATCTTAATAATTGGAGGGTAACTTTGAATGGAATGTTTGACCAACAGCTTGTTCTTTAATTTGTTCAAAAGTGTCTGTTTTTAATTATTTGGGAGTACATTTTAGAGCAAGGTGCAAAATTTGTCTATTTTATTCAAAAAGTTTATCTTTTGATATGTGGATTTTCAAGGATAGTAGAGGTGTAAATTTGCGCGGGAACTTCTTTTTGAAGATGACACATTTGTTGTTGTAAAATGTGTCTGGTGTTGGTGGTTGATAATCGAAAAGAATAATGTAATTATCTTGTTCGAGATGCCACATTTATTGTTCCTCCCTGCAGTTTGCAGCATGAATCAATTAATCTTTTGAGGTTATGTTACCTCTTTGCTTAGTTTTATGATTTGCTCACAATACTGACAGGTTGAGAAGCTTAAGGATTTGTGCTTAAAGCAAAGAGAAGAGATAAAGTCATTGAAAAGTGCCGTGCTGTTCCCGGATGTTATGAATTCTCAACTTCAGGATATTTTGGAGAAGCAGGGTTCAGAACTTATACAGGCAAAGCAGCTTATACCAAATCTTCAAAGACAGGTCACTTCTCTTACAGGCCAACTACAATGTCTAGCCGAAGATCTTGCTGAGGTAACAATATAAGTCATTATCGCGTGCTATCAGCTTCATATGAATCGTTTAGGACTCCTTGTTGGATCTTTCTATTCTTTAAACCACAAAATTCCAATGTATATTGTATTTAAAAAGCTTCACCATTACTGATGACAAACAAAAACTAGTTAAACTCAGTCAAGTTTTCTGTTAATATCATTAGCCTTACTAATCTTCAACATGAAATGCAATTGCACCAAACTAGAATTTGCAGTTTTACTTCAAAGATTCAAAATATCTACTGCTAAAGAGAATCTGCTTGATCGAACGCTCCACGAGCTCTTAAATATGTCTTGAAGGATATTTCAAAAGAGAAATGATTTTCTACCTCAATAATAAACCACAAAGGCCCCCTGACATGAAAAATCAGTATTGTTTTTGGTTGCTGCTTGCTCCATCAGAAACTCAGTAGTTAAAATACTGGTCAAGATGAAAATACAGAAGAATCCTAAACGGATCTAGTTGATATATACTTTTTCAATATTTTCACTTTTGCAAGTTGAAAGTCAAACTATCACTTCTATGTTTCTTATAAATGATTTGGAGGGAGCTATATGTTGGGATCTTGCATCATTCGTTACTTATATAGCATATGCGAATAAATTGTTTAACGGGGTTTTTTGCTCTTCCACTCTGTAAGATGAAAAACAAAGGTAAGGAGTGCCATTAGCTTGCTTTTTGGTTTCTCATGTCATCAAGTAATATGGTTTGTAGCGTAGTTTACCTTCTTTTTTGGTAACTAAACAATTTTATTTACCAAGTAATATTTACGCATTTGATTCTCTTTATAGCTTGATCTGGACAATAGTCCCAGATTCAGTTATCCCTTCCTTTCCCGCTACTCCTACTTATTCATAACTACCTTTTTACATATCTATATGAACAGTAGGATAGTAGTTTAACTCTAGGAACCTTCTATTAAATCGTTGCTTCAAATTCCCTCGGCAATGTATTTCCTGCATTAACAATCGAGTGATTGTTTCAGCATTCCTCTGTGTTGCTTGAAAGATTCGTGCATTCTTCTCTTGCCATATATAGTATATGCTTCCAGCTAGTGTCATCCTGTAAATTTCAGCGTTGGAGCTACTACCTTTACAGCGTAGTTTACCTTCTGATAGGCGCAAAACACTCTTTCGCTTCTTTTAATTACTCTGCTCTGTTGCTACCACAATATTGAAAAGTCTGTTGATTTGGCACCCAAGTGCTTTGGATGTAATAATGCAAATGTCTTTGGTTTATCATAAGACCAGCATTGGATTGTTTGAGAAAGTGGCTAATACTATAATTTTCACAGGTCAAAGCTGATAAATATGCTATAAGAGGGAGCTATGATTCTCTTGGTAGCCCTCCAGGATATGATCAAGAAGAAGCAGCTAATTCTCTGGTAAAAACATCTGAATAATGTGCAAAGGTTTCAAATGCAACACGAAGTTTGTTGTGAACAAATTACCTATATAGCTTAGACATGAATGTGCATGTTGGACATTCGCATCAGGTGGCGTAATTTGGTTTCTTTGTTTCTTTTAGGAATTCAGCTCTGAGGATCACACAATTCCCGGCAGTCCAGATGACATGTTTCTCAAGGATGTAAACCCCTGCTTAACACCTTATTACGCCAAGACAAAGTCCAAGGTGAGTGTCTCATTGGTGCATTCGTTGTGTAAAGTTCCAAAGTTTGTCAGTGACAGCCCTTCTTGTGGGGGCAATCCTGAATTTGCTATTGCTTTGAAATATCTTCTTGATACATAGTGTTATTTCTCTTATAAATAAAGCGACTCGTGTTACAGTTACTTAACATGTTATGTTTTAGGAATTTGAGAACTTCAATTCTCCTGATACTAAAGATCTGGTAAAGACCAATATTCAAGTTTATCATGAGACCAGCTACAGTTCTTGTGCAAGGAAGTTGTCGAAAAGTTCAGACTGTCGCCAACATTCCAACACAACAACCCGTGCAGCTCGCAGATCTGATGAAAGCAAATGCACATATGGAAAGCAGGTCCACAGTAGGTTCTTCTAAGTTGTCCTCAATCCTGAAGATGTTTCTTGAGGAGCAGTAAACCTTAAGTCCAACAGCTCGGCTGAGAACAACATTCGTGGTGAATGCATAGTTGTTTCGAAATCAAATTCCTATTCCCTTCTCTCCTTTTCAATATACTATCGAAATCAATCTGCGTTTCGACGTTCTTTTGAGATGTAGACCAAGTATCTGGTTCAGTATACATTTTGTTGGTATTTCATAAGATATGCTGGCCTAATTCCAATAGTCCATTGAATCTGAGTAGTCATTCATGGTTATGTTTTATAAACTCTTGTGATGAACTGCATGATTCGTTAATAAGATGATAATATCATACAATGCACATGTATTTCAACAAAGATCAAGCTCATGAAATAATCATGGGGCGATAAGGATGCAATTTCAATCTTGTATTTCATTAAATCTGGGTAAGAATATCATATAAGTGATTCCACACTACTATATTTGTCTGTTTTGGATGATCGATGAGATGATGAAGAATTAACCTAAATAGCCGTCCATCCAATTGCTTAAACTAAAAATAGCCAGTAAATGTATAATATATGCATAATTTATGTATTATATGTGTATATTTATGTGTATTCAATGTATAATTTATGTATATAACTAGAAAAGGTAATCAATAAATATGACCGACTATTTGCATAAAGATACCTTTTGCCTTATTTTTTCCTTTAGTCCTACAATGGATATCAGGCTATATGACCTCTCTTTAAAATTTTCCCATGGAAATCAGTAGCTTGTGTAATGAGGTAAAGGAAAATTTCTTTTCTTGAGACTAGTGAAAATACATACTCCCTCCGTTCCAGTTTATGTGAACCTATTTCCTTTTTGATCCGTTTCAAAAAGGATTACCCCTTTCTAAATTTAGAAACAATTTTGCTTAAACTTACAATTCTACCCTTGATGAGAAGCTTTTGTAACCACACAAATGTTGTAGGCTCCTTTTTGACTTGTTTAGGACCACAAATTCCAAAAGTCTTTATTTTTTCTTAAACTTCGTGCCTAGTCAAACAAGTTCATATAAATTAGAACGGAGGGATTAACATTTTAAATTTAATAGCCTAATACATTTTTTTTTGTCAACAAGAGTAACAAGTACGTCTGGAGGTCCAAAATGATTTTATTTATATGTGTGTGTGCGAGCGTGTGCGAGCGTGCGCGAACTTTTCAAATTGTTACTGAGGTCCAAATTCAAATGGTTAAAATTAGTGGCATAGGTCGGGTTGGCTCGAATTTTCTAATTACCAATTATTAAATCTAAATACCAAATCAAACAAATAAAAGTCGGGTTTTTAATCTCGGTTTTTCGGGTTTTCGGATTTTTTCGGTTTTTTTTTTTCATAAAGTCTTCATAGCATAAAACGTGAATTTGTTCTCCAAATATTTCTTTAATCCTAGCAAGACAAAATTCTATAAGGCATTTTTCAATAAAATAACATAAATATGAGATGAGTCATGACATTGTACTAAAATATTCAACAACAAAGATAATAAAATTATAAAATAAATATTATTAATAAGGCATAATAAAAACAAACATAATTTAAAATTACGACTAATACGTACTAGGAGTATTATTTACATGACTAACCATTAAAAGAAAAATAAGTTATACATTTTATCTAAACCATAAAAAACTAAAAAATAAATATCCAACACTATTTTCACTCATAATACAATTGAATTGAATGTTTTATTAGCATTAGTATTGATTTGATTTTGGCTTAGGATTTATTTGAGTTACTAACATTAAACTTATCGGAGCATCCAAAAATTATAAGCTCAAGCTTGAAATAATACGTTAAAAGATAAATTACGAAAAAGCTTAAGAAATACTTATAAACTACACTACAATAAATATTTTTATGTATTAAATATATTTAAAATTTCTATAAATATAATGTCGGGTTGGTTTTGTTTCGATTTGACTTTTTTTAGTTAAAACCAAACCAAATATGGACGGATTTTTTTTCCAATACCAAACCAAACCATAGTCAGATTTTTTTTCGGTTTGACTCGAATTATTGAGTTGATGCGATTTGTCTGTTTCATTTATACACCCCTAGTTAAAATAAGATGCAACTTTGTTGGGGGGTGGGGGGAGGGGGGGGNAGTACGTCTGGAGGTCCGAAATAATTTATTTCTATGTGTGTGTGCGAGCGTGCACTTTTCAAATTGTAACTGAGGTCCAAATTTAAATGGTTAAAATATTTTGGTTGGGCATTATCTAAAATAGATGCTATTTTAGGGGGGAAAATGAAACTTAAGAAAGAGTAGAGAGAAGGAAAAGAAATTTAAAGGTAGTAACCAAGTAAAGAGAATTTTTATCACAAACTTATTTATAGTTTGGTTTATAATTAACTATTTATTCTAAAAAGATTTCTCCATTGCTTAAAGTTTCAGTTTTGTGGAGAAATTAAAAGCTTCCATATTCATAGTGTCCCACCATTAATCGCCATCTTCACAACCTGGAAAACAACTGCACATCCAAAAAGAAAAAAAAAAGATTTATTGCATCATTTTGAAAAAGATAATAATGAAATAAATTTAGATTATACTAAAATAAAGAGCTAATTGCAGCTTTTAAACAAAATCTACATTGGCTGTTGACTGGTTTTGTCAAAAATAGGGAAAAAGGTTAAATTTATCCCTATATTTTGGATAGTTAGTTACGTTTATATCCGTTTTTATTTTCCGTCTAAAATTGTCCGCACCGTTAACAAAGTAGATAAAATCACCCAAACCCTAATGGATTTCCAACGTGGCAATGGGACATTTCACTTAAACTGCCAACTGGGCAATTATCGACCCAAATTTTAAAAGGCCCGTGCCCATTTCTTTTACCCAAAGACTCGTGCCCATTAATGGCTAGTGACTATCTCTCCTTTTTCTTAAAACCCATAAGTTATAGCCTGTTTGACCAAGCTTCTCGGGAGGTCAAAAGTGATTTTTTTTTCAAAAATATATGTTTTTTAACTTGAGTTATTTGGC